ACCAAAGCGGAATTTACAATACAATGCCCACCTTATGAAATGTTACCTGAAATACTGAAATGTGTTTCGATTGGAAAACAGATATTGAAGCGCCGTTTTAATGCTTATTATTATTTATTTAGTTTTGTGCAGTCATTCGCGTCAAGTTGTCAGCTTCTAAACGAACCCCCTTCTGGCCCTCTACAAAAACAACACTCTGTGGCAAAACGACTACTGAAATAGTATGCATTTTTCTTGTTAATTTTTAAGCCCCTATAAATTCAAAGATATTTTATGCAAAACGTATATTTTCGATAAATTCTCGTCAGGCCTTTACATTTATATGGCAATTAAATAAGTAGACTATGTTGGTTGGTAAAAAGACGAAGTATTGGTGTATAAATGGAAAGGCCTGACGACAATTTATCGAATACAAACGTATTTTCACCAATTTACTTTCTGAAATGTTCAATGGTAATTTTCGCAAAATGCAAAACTTATACAAAAAATATCCCTTTTCAGAGGCATTTGGTTGTAAATTACGTCTCTTTGAATTTTATACTTGAAGAAAGTATTTCTAATTCCCGTGTAATTTTGATTCCGACCTGCCGCTACACATACAAGTAAGGTTTCCCAAATTGCATGCTGCATAAAATTTTCCATTGGATGTGAACCATGTTGCATACTTTATAAGCCACATTGATAAATTGACAGATAAGCTGCTTTATGAATATATACTTTACGGTTTTCAAAGAGCTCATAATTAGAAGCTTTTTAAAAACCCCAAGGTACACTTTCTTCAGGTATAAAATTTAAAGGTATACTTTTCTACCAAATGAATACAAGAAAAATTATTTTATGCATGATTTCTATAAAATACATTGAAGTATGATAAAGTCGTTTGAAAAATGAGTAGTACTCGAGTATTGCTATTTTACAGTGTATCGTTTATGCAGGCGGCTGGAAGATGACTCACTCAAAAGCCGGCATCTTGAAGTGCATTGAATTTTATGTGAGTAGACTGCAGAATATTAAATATTACTCAAGTTTTTTTTCATTGAAAATCAAATTCAGAACTTCGGTTGAAATTTTATGAGATATACAATCTCCTGTAAACCCGTGTCCAACCCTGAACTTCGTTGAGACAAAAATATTCCGTAGTTTCCACTACAAGGGTTTGGGGTGGCGCAATGTCTTGCAAAATGCGCACAATATTTCGAAATGTTGTACAACCCTCCTAGTAAGTATAAGCGCATTAGTGCATGCAACTAGGATAAACGAGTTTTTGAGAGGGGAGAGGGGGCTTACAGTAACTCGACGGCAGTTTTTATCCACCGCTGTGGTCGGCACTGATCAGGGAGGCTTATATACGATAACAAGGGCAGGAAGCGCAAATGCGTCTACTCACCTGTGTACATTGGAAAGTTGACCCAGACAGAAGCGGTTTCGGCTGGAGGGGTCTGTGTAGCCGTCGACGATGACTCGCGTGTAGTGGCTGGGTACCTTGAAGAGTTCACCTACCTGCTGATCGAGTTCGAAGTAGGCGATGTTGCACCAGTACTCAGGAGGACGCTGTGTCGTCAGTTGGGGAGCCTAGAGGGGGTGGGAGCGGAGGCAGGAAGGATAAAAGACTAAAAACTAATTCGGGGGGTGACACTTTCAACATTGGCAGCTGCCGGAATCGCACTGACAACCATAAAGTAATGCCAGTCGGGATGTTACCGAGGCCGATGAAACGAAAGGATAAGCACAACTTAAGAGGAATGGATGCATTGCACGCTGAAACCTGAGAAACGCATCTTGAAATCCTTGTATATGACCCCAGAAATTATAAGACAAGCTTGCGCTAGTAATTAGTAAGGGAGAAAACATTAAAGTCACACACGACAGTAGATGATCTTAGTTGTTCAACCTCTCCGGCTACCTGCGTTGATCTCGAAGACGCGACAGCTCAACAGTCGAGTTTGACGTTGTCCATCGTGTGTTTCAGCAAGCTGAAGACTAACGCAACGATTTCCGTTGATATTATTCTTAAGTTATGTTAGACTTGCGCTGCATCTACCACACCCCACTCTTCCCTCGCCCTTCCGTGTCCGATATGATAACAGAGTCAAAAAGACTGGAGGCGGGGTCGGGCGTAGCTGGTGGATACGGTAAAGCTCGCTCCTAAGTATACCACTACGAACCGTGGTCCACCACAATAAATACCTAACCAGGGTTATGTAAAAACGCTATGACTCACGAATAAACCCAGTAATATTTGAATGAGATAGAGGTGGCGAAACATGAAGGGGTTGACGACGTCACAAATTCCGGGATTTATTATTCAACTGCGACCGCTCATTACGCATTTATTAAATTGGCGCTTCAATAGGCAAACAACTCAAGGCGATCAAATGGGAACACATTGTGTTTGCCACAAAAGATGAGCACAATTGTCATTATTTAACGCGCATTCGCTCGAAACAAAAGTTCCACAATTCCCATGGAAAGGGCTCTCATTTTGGCTTACTTCTGAAGAATTACGGACCGCACTTAATGCATTTTAGACATAATATTCTTTGCCATTTCTCCAGTAAACGACTCAACAACGCTCATAAAATACTGGAACAGGGTTGCACACGTTACAAATAAAAAGACCGGTCATAGAGTGCACGAACGCGCTAAATACTCTGAATACCAACTTCTCAATACGAAAAAATAACTAGAGCAGGGGCCATGTTTGTGCATCTTTTTTAGAAAGCAAGCATCGAAATTGGCCGGAAGGCTCTATACAATTGAAGTACACTTATGAGTGATACTGACGATTTACGTGGCTAGAATTATCCTTAGCAATGAAGAAAGAGGGTCGAACTGCGGAAAGATTTGTCTTTTATTTTGAGCTTCCGGACTCCTAAAAGAGTCCATCGTCATCCTTACCTATGTAAATACCTGGAACGCGAACGTTCCCTTTCATTAATTATCCTTAGTTTACAGCCAGCACCTCACGGAGCACAAAATAAAGAAAGGGTCGATTATGTAAGCCCCCTGAGTTAAGTTGCTATACAGAGGCCTAGAAGAGTAAATTTGGCAGAAATTTACTTATTTTGATGTATTCTTGTGTATAGTTCGCTGCTTTTTTGCGGTGAGGCCCATTATCAACGTTCTCGTTTACCACGATCCTGGAGTTAGCTATGACTAAGAAGGCTGATATAACTAACCGTTGCCAGATTTACTTTGTACACGGTCCCATGCTTAACTAGTGTAGGTAAGTGGTTTGCACATCTTTCGATTTTGAAAATGGGTTAAGAGATATCAGCCGGTCTCACCAGTTTTTACGCCTACGACACAGACCTTTTTCCACGTAATAGCATGACTCTTCGTTAGAAACCGCAAACATTCGAAAGATGTTATAGCTCGCATTTAACTACTAGAATGGAAATTCCCCAGGCGGATGAAACGCTAAAACCTGGGAGAGAGAACCATTCCCCCCCCCTTTCTCTCGTTTTGCACAAAATTTCAATAACGGTTAAACTTTCCGCGTCCTACCTCTAACCCTACACAGAATAGTAACCCTAGTCTTAAAACTAACCCTCCTCTTCTTGGATATTTGCGCAAAACCCTCAAATCATGGGTAGGGGCTCGCAGTCCCGTGTCTTTTCGATG